AACCAAACATATATCCAAATATAGGTTTAAGGTAATTCTATCACTTCACCCTTAATTCCAAGTACAATGACTTCGTGCTGTAGGGATTCTGGTTGTAAGATACTCCCTCCGTACACAAATATAAGAGGTTCCAACTTTTTTCTGAATCGGATGTATATAGACACATTTTAGTGTGTTTGTTCACTCATTTCAGTCCGTATGTAGTCCAAATTGAAATATCCAAAACATCTTCTATTTGTGAACGGAGGGAGTACATACCTTTTGACTTTCGTAGTTCTTATAATTAGTATATCCGCAGGATATGGTCTGACCATAAACATGATAGTAAAGGCAATGAAGATTTGGCATTAATAATGGCTTACTGGTTACTAGTATCCCTTTCTTTACAAGTTACTAGCCAGTGTAAAGAATGCTAGCACTAGCAGGCCTAAGGCTACAAAGAATGTAGAACTTTCAAGACAACATAGACAGTAATAAGTGCACTCATGTTGGACTTATTGTTGCAGGACCCCAGGAAAGTTTTCGAGATACGGATTTTGCTATCACCAACAATACCTTCATATTTTCTTATTATTGAAGCATACAGATGGGAGCTTAGCCAATTCATTAATGAGAGGAACGTAGTTTAAATCTTACAACATCCATCCCCAATGGACCCGCCAAGACCAACAAAACCTTACTACAATGATACTGTGTTATCAACATAATACATTAAAAACATCTTACCTGAGTGTAATTTGATACAAGGACAATACGGTCATCAGTTTTCAGTCGGAGGTGCCCCAGCAATCTAGCCAACACGTGCATTTTGCCAGATAGTTCTACCCACATTCCTCCTCCACCAGTCCATGATCCAGATCTTGCATAAAAGAAATGATACAGGTAAGTTGGATTTGCTTGAGAAGCTAGTGAGAAAAGTTAGGCATACCTTCCTTGAAACAGTTCTGGAGGGAAAAAGCGTAGACAGTCATCGAAACCGGAGCCTCCTGACTTGCTACTCTTTATGGTGTCATAGATTAGCTGCAAGGCGAAGTATCAAGTGAAAACGCTGATTCAGTGAAAATCTGGAAACTCACCTCGTGAGTCATCAGATCAATAAAGAGCGGCATAGATCTTAGGTCGTATCCCACCAGCCACTTAAACACTAATTAGCAAATAACCCCTTCATTTACGCACCAGGTCCTTACGTTTCGACTACGATCGATTCGTCTTTCAATCTCGTCGGCGAAATGGAGACTTGCCCTACGCCGGCCACGATGGGCCCTCCGTCGACCGTGAACTACTCCCTCCGCCGGCCACGAAGAGCCCCACGCCAGCCACGATGCGTCCTCCGCCGGCCACGAGGGCCCTCCGCTGGCCGTGAACTATCTCCCTCCGCCGGCCATGTTCCCTGTCGACGCATCGGTGCCGCCTCTCCAGGACCTCGCTCCTCCTCGTACTGTGCCATGCCTCAACCTCGTCTTAGCCCTGCACAGGTAAGCAACAGCTGCTTCGGTTACTGATTGTACTAATATGGGGTCGGTCTTATTGCCACAACATCCTCATATCCCTCCACCTGATGGTAGAACAAGCACTACCTGAATCATGTTAACCTGAATGTCACAGTTGTCTTTCTTCAGTTGTACTTTTGAAGTATCTGGTTTGGTCTTTCTTGTTTGCATCTTCGTCGGTGTACTGTAGCATGTACATCAGTTGCCGGCAGTAGAATATGTAAACTGGACTTGTAAATCCTACTTGAGAGCAGTAGGGTAAATTCCAAAAACAAAAAATATGGGATGAGTTCCCAAATTAAAAAGGGGATGGAGAAGGGAAGAGAAATAAGAATGGAGAGGGGAAGAAAAATGTGGGAGGAC